TTTGTTATTCTTTAACCAAGTAAAAAGTTACTTATCTATAGATTAACTACGTTAACGTTAAAAGATATACAAAACAATACATATATTAAATATATGTATGCATATAAGTTGTAATTAACACCTTTTTAATTATAAATTAAATTTATGTTTAAAATAATAAAAACAGTCTTTTTTTTTAAAAATGTCTTTTCTAAGACATTATATTTTATTACATACAGGGTAGATACCAAGTATTTCGGTACCGCAAAAAATCTTGAAAACTAGGCATTTTCTTTATGAAAAAATGTTTCAGATAAAAGGGCTTAAAAGAATCTATTTATCAATTGTATCGGTGTGACTTTGGAAAGCGCCACTAAGGTCAAGTCAAGAACACATTGATTTTTTTAAATAAAACACTTTATTTTTAATTACAGATTTGTATAGCTTAATTCAAGAGCTTCCCAAAATATTATAATAAAGATTGTGTTTATTAAGCAGTTTTTGTTATGACAATTGAATATTAGAATACCGCGCCGGTACTTTTTCTACGAAGATGATTTTGGTCAAAACGAATTTTGCGAGCAAATAATGCAGAGAATTGACAAAGAACTTAATTTCCTATTCAACATAGTTATTTTAGATAAAGCCAAATTTGAAATGAATGATAACGTCAATAAATAATGTTAACAATATTAAAAGATAAATAACAGGTCTCAATAACGAGCAAATGTAAGAACTTTATTTAAACAATAAACCGCAAAGGTAAAAAACCGTGGTTACAAATAATATATAATAATATAATATAAACGTTTTGACTCTACTTGAGTCATCTTCAGTACATCAAAACAAAAAACAATAAGTCACAAATTAATCCTTTAAACTTTTGAATGCATTGTTATTATTGATAAAAAAAAAAGAAGAAACAAGTTCTTACTTGAATAAATTTCCGTCCTAAAACAGTCAACGGAATATAGTGAGAAAGATACTTAATAAGTCACCACACAATCACACAGCATACTCACAAGATGGTAGTCGGAAATCAAACGCTAAACAGACAGTAAGGACAGCCAAATATATACATAAAGCCCCACTCTGAACCAAACAACAGAACAATACAATAAGTTTTGAATTTTAAAGTCTGTATGTAGTTAAGTCTGCATATTTTAAGTCATCGAGTAGATAAAAATAAGAATCGTCGAGTAAATCTGTGTCATTAATTAAATTAAGCCCCTGAGTCTGTTCCTTAATATGTATTATTTCTGAAATTAATCTCTTGTAAAAATTAGATTCAAAATCCAAAATCTCAATATTATCCCAGTCAAACAAATGATCGTAGTCAATAATATGTTTGGAAATAACAGATAGCTGTGAGGTATCTTTTTTGATGTTATTCATGTGTTCTTTAGTTCTAGTTTTTAGCTGTCTCTTCGTCTGTCCCACGTAAGACGCACAACAACT